GTCACGTACCTCAAGACTTTATTTGAAACACCTTAAGAAGTTTAATAAATCCAATAAAACTCTATCAGCGTGTGTCAGGGAATATTAGATTTAAAGAGATAATCATGTTGTGTTTTTGTATACTCTACAACAATATTTTTTAAATTTAGCAGCAGCTTTTATTTGTAAACTTTCCCCCTGGAGAGCTGAAAAGAAACATGAAATTTCTTTACATCAACACCTGCTGTGGAGACTAAAAACAGCTGTGAGCAGCTCTGAGGGGAAATCCAACTGATAAGTGTTCAGCATAGATAAAGTAGCCCACAGTATAAAACATACAGTATAAAAATACAGTATAAAATCATACAAGAAGCTCCAATCCAGGAAAACCTTATGAACTGTATGAAGTTTATGTCTTACACTTGATTTGATCACTTGATCTTGGTTGTTTCTTCAGTATTTTCTTTTCAGTCATCAAAAACTCTTGGGGCATTCTTTTTGAGCTTCAAACAGTTAAAGCTCGTGTGTGGTTCTCATGATTATAAACTTTATCTAATTAGAAGTTATTTGAACTTGTGTGCACATTGGGTTTAAGGTCAAACATATTTGCCAAAGAGATAATCAATTTGTACTATGTGCAGTTTCACTTTAAAACATATATCTTTACTGGATGAACTTCACTAGATACATATCTGCACACAACTACTCTAAAAATTAAAAGAATATGTGTACTTTGAACTATCTGTCTCAATATGCACTACACCTGAGGTTCTATGGGCCGYGGCCCAATTATGGTCTGTGAGTGACACCTAGAGGGCCTCAAAAGAACAACAGTTTTTAACTTTGGGCCGCAGAGGGCCACTGGACCGCATTGATTTTGAATAAGTTGCAATACATTTTCTCACCACTAGTAACAGTAGTGCGCCACTCAGATGTTTAAGAACTTTTTTTTAATACATAGAAGAACCTTAGAAACCTGCTGAGAATGGAAACTTATTTTAAATGAAAAGTAGAAGCAAAAATGAAAGTAACTCGTCAAAAAACACCAAAGTTTGTCACTAATATGAAGGTTTCTGTTTTTACCATGCAATATTTTAAAAGTTCAACACATTATCAAATACAGTTGCAGATACAGCTATATTTTAATTAGCACTTTATCAAATTAATTTTTGTAATTAATTTTTAAGCATTTTGTCAAAAAGCTGTTGTTACTGTTATTGTTAAAGAGCAGCTTCTGTTTTTACCGTGCAATATTTTAAGAGTTCAAAACATCATCATATACAGTTACAGATACAACTA